TCAGTTAATGGCTGTTGGTTTTCTTTTGCACGGTGTTTAAAACAGGGCCTAACAATAGAGCCCAGGCTGGTGTAGAACTCCCATCCTCCTGCCTTGGCCCTTTCAATTTTAGGATTCAGGCAAGTAAGCTGTTGGTTCTTGTTTGTTGTTGGTTTGTTTTTTTAAAAACAGGATTTTCTGTGAAACAGCCCTAGCTGTCCTGGAACTCACTTTGTAGACCAGGATGGCTTCAAACTCACCTGCCTCTGCCTCTGCCTCCCAAATGCACCACCACTGCCCTGCTAAAGCTGTTGGTTCTTAACCTATGAACATTGGTCATTTTAGCAGATGCTCAGGATCCCATTCCGGAGTAGCCACACCCATCTCTTAACACTTCCTGTTGTTTTACTGTGACCTTGATTGAGCTGTGTCCTCCCAACCCCCACCCCAGCACACACACACACACACACACTCCCTCTGCAGGAGCAGGGGGATGGGTGGCCCCAAGCTGCGCTGGTAATGATGGGCTGTGCATTCTAGAGTGGGCTGCAATGACTTCCCTCAACAAGACAGGAGGGAGGAGAACACCGTGACGGCAGTGCTGAAGGCAGGCAATTTAGACCCATTTAGTCCTGCTCTCAGCCCTTCCGCCAGCACAGTGGTAGTGTGTCCACAGTTCTCACCCCAGGGTCCCCTTGACAAGTCCTGGGTACCCTTTTCTGGCAGAACTCACCTACTAAGGCCATTGGAGCTTGACCGAGATTGGAGTCGTTTTCATTTTCTGAGACTCTCAGCAAATTAAAAAAATAAAATGGCCAGAAAGGTTAGCAGAACCATGTCTGGAATCTGGTCACCGAACAAGTAAACACTCTTAACAAACACGGAGCCCTATAATCACTCTGGTCACAGATAATTACAAGATTCATAGACAATATTAATTCCTAATGCCCTGCAGATGGTGTAGTCCAGGAATGGAGCACATACGGACATTTATATGAAAAATAGCCTTCTTTATGCGTAGGTGTCTTGGACATGGCTAAATTTGGGCAACTTTCTAAACGTGAAGCAGGGCACAGCCCTGTTCTTTCTCTGGCCACTCAGTCCAGTTACTAGCGGGAGCAGAAGGGCTTGGTGTGCAGCCCCCTGTAGCCCACGCTTGTATCAGCACCCACCCTAAGTGCATTTTACAAACTCTCAATTGTGAATATTCCAATTGAAATCATACTCGGTGGTTTGACGGATTGTTCCTCAGTCTACCACACCGTTTGGGGAGATCCTGGAGCTGACAGGAGGTGGGTCTGGCTGCAGGAAGCAGGTAGTGGCAGGCAGGAAGCAGGGCTTTGACAGACGATAGACTGTTCTGCCCCTTTTCCTGAGCTTCTATCTCACACTTCCATGTCCACCACTCCTCCATGCCTTTTCTGCCATGACGGACTAAAAACCCAGACAAGCCTTTCCTCCTCAAGCAGTTTCTATCAGATGTTTTGGTAGCAGCCATGTGAAAGAACCTAGTAAATTAATGAATGCAGTTTGGGTTATTGTATTAAAATAAAAAGCAGAAAAAAATGTTCATCTACTTCTGGAGTTGTGACGGGGGCTTAAGTGACAGAGGTGGGGACTCCAGGAAATGAAGGAGTGGGTTCTGAGCCAGGAAGTTCTGGGTGAGGGAGGTGGGTTCTCAGCCACCAACAGTGCAAGCTTGGGTGAAGGGCCAAGGGGTTCTGGGACAGGCCCGAGAGATGGATCCTGGACAAAAATAAGGATTCTAGGCCATGACAGAGATGCATGCTGGGATTGAAAGCAGTAGGTTCGAGGACATACACAGATGGGCTGTGGGCTGGCATCCCACCCCACGCTCCCAGAACTCCCATGCACTGTTCCTCGGAGCCCACGCTTCCCTGAGCGCTGGCAGCGCGGTGTCCCCAGGCCCAGCTCAGTATTCCCTTCCCATCCTGTGAGCTGGACAGAACAGACCGCTGCTGGCTAGACTGGGCCTCCCTGTGGGCAGGCGCCAGGTCTGCAACAGCTCCCGTCGGCAGCACCCAGGCGGAGCACGGAGCCGCGGATCTTCCAGGCTGTTCCATTTGCAATTTCATCCCACGTGTCCGCGGGGCCTCAGAAGTGTGTGTGGGATCCATCACAGGCAAGAGGGGCAAGGGGAAGGACACCGAGGGGAAGAGATGCGGGAGGGAGGACCCAGCTGGACCCAGTGCGGTTGAAACACGAAGACCCCGCGCCTGAGGCACGCACCTGGTGCGCGGTGGGGCGGGGCTCTCGGACCCCCCCCCCCCGCGGACACGCGCGGCAGGTGCACGCGACGGGGGTCCCGCCCCGTCGCCCCCTCCCCGCCGCCAGGCGCGCGCGGCATTGTGGGAGTTGTGGTCCTCGGGGCCGCGGAGCGCAGCGCGGGCGGCACCGGCTCGGTGGGGCTCGCGGCTCGGGCCGAGCGGCTGCTGCGGGCGCGGCAGGGGGCGGCCGCGTCCCTGGGGCAGTGGTGTCGCCCGGCTCCCCGCAGCCGCCCGCGCAGGTAAGCGGCGTCTCCGGGGCTGCGAGGCTGCGGAGGACGATGCTCTGGGCGCCCGCGCCTGCATCCCAGGCCGGCCCAGGGCCCGCGGTCGCCTAGCACCGGCTGCATGCTGAGTGCCGCTCGGGCTGGATCGGCGCCGCGCAGCATCACCCCCGCCTCCTCTCTTCCCCCTCCTCCTCTCTTCTTCTCCTCTATCGCCTTTTCTCCTGGTCCCCCATTTCTCCTCAGCATCACCCACTTTAACCCACCTCCCTGTCCCATGAATTGTCACGCGTCCTGACCCGCCTTCCTACTTTTCCAGGTAACCCTTACCTCAACATCTCATCCCCTGACTACTGGCATTACTACCACCTGCGTTAACACGTCTTTCTGACCTAGCTCCAGGGCCTGTGACACTGGCGGGAGACTCTGAGGAGGCAAGCTCCCTAGAGGGGAGGGCTCGTCTCCGGACAGCTCTTAGGCTCTCTGATAGAGAGGACAGCGAACATCACACAGCTGCTGTGCTGTGCCTTGCAGGGGGGTTCCGGAGCCTCCTGGCTTCACCTCAGGGTGACCCGGACTCTTTAGCATCAGAAAGCCTCCTGAGCTGGTCACCTGATCCGGGTTAACTGGGTCAAACGCAGACTGTCTTCCCGGGCATTCTTCGTGTTAGAAGTTATCTTTGATTGGACTTGATTGAATTTGGCCTTTATTCCCCGGAGCCCGCTGGTCTTTGAGATCTGAGGTGCAGAACCTGCATGATGCCCATCACTGATGGGAACCAGAAGAACCAGTGTGCATCCATCCATCCATCCTCCTGCTGCCACTCACTCCACTAAAACCAGAGTTGTTTTCTTGTCACAGGTTAGCTCTGGGCTTGAATGTTCCTCCGTGGGTGCAGGAGCCTCTTGGGGCTCTAAGTGACTGGCAGCTCCCAGTTCACTCACTTAGCACTGGATTGGATCTCTTGAAGAGGTTAGGGTCTCTCCTTGCTGAATCTTTTACTGTTCTGTCTTGGGGAGGGCTCTTGTCTGCTCTGTCCGGAATGAGGCTGTTATGAGGAGGGGAAGGGCTCATGGCCCATGGAGAGCTCCCCTAGCCACCCACCCATTGTGTGTGTGTGCATGTGTGCATTTGACATGAGCAGGTTAGTGGGAACTCAGTTTCATAGGTCAGGTACTACCACGAGCTGAGTCTCCGGACACCCAGGAAACCTGCTGCTGAAGACAGTTTTACAGCCAGCTGAGACTCTGGGCACCCAGGAAACCTGCTGCTGAAGACGGTTTTAGTTGCAGTTTAGAAGGAAACGTTTCATTTTGGGAATCCTGGACTGGCTTGAAGAGCAAGTGCAAAGAAGACACCTTTCCGGAGCTTTTCCCCTTTTCCTAAAGTGGAAACAGCGGAGCGATGGTATCACCCATGGAGGAGGGGCCAGCGAAGGAGCTTAACACCCGGGCTTTGCATCTTGAGAAGAAACTGGCTTCTCTCTCCCCCATTTCTGTACTTTTCCTAGAAGCATGAGTCCCCATGAATATTCAGTATGTGTGTTTTTTTGACTTCCTAAACATTATAGTCAAGTGATTCTTTATTCAGCCGACACGGGGATGGTGCCAGTAGGTGAGGAATGAGCACCAAAGGTTCTCCATGAGACCAGGAGTGGACATCACCCCAAATCGGGGTGTTTCGGCCTTAGCATTCTGCTCAGGGTGGGAGCCTTGGGACACTCCACGTTTGGTTTGCCTGTCACTCTCACATTGAGGGCTCACTGTGACATTATCCCCAGCCAGTAAATGGATGAAAACTTAGAGAGGGCTTAGAGAGGGGACATGCCCTGCAAACAGCTGGTGTCCACTCCTAGTCTAGCCCATGTCTAGTTTGGGTGTGTAACTTCCCTGCTATGCTGAAGACTTCCCAGGCCTAGCTGGTCCAGGCAACAGGAGACAGTCTTGCTGTCTTTGTACTCTATTCTCCCCTAGGGAAGGAGGAGGAACACTGAGATGCTCCCAACTGTGTTCCTCTTGGTAATGGAGGGCTTCCAGGAAGACGCAGACCTGACTGCACCACCGTGAAAAAGGAGGAGTGGACAGAGTGTGTCAGAGGAACTGGGGGGCACTCTGGGTTCTGGAGATCTGGGAGGCACAGTTGGGCTTGCATTGTGTTTTACAGTGACTTGGGTTCCACCTCCCATAATGGCTGGCAAAGCAGCGTCACTGCTGTCCTCAGAGGTGGGAAACTGAGTCCAAGACTTGGACTTTTCCTGTAAGGCCAACCGAGTGACAGAAAGAGGTGTATCTGCCATAGAGGGCACTCCAGGGCACCCGCTTCCTTTATTAGCCTATATTATCCTGATTTACAGCATGCTTGCAAAGAGAGGGAGAGTGTGCCATTGTGACTGCCCTCTGCTGTTCCATGATGCGTTTCCATCCTCCCGAGACTCTTGTATTCAGGACTTTTCTTTTCATAACTTTAATGTGCTGTTTTCTGGTTTCCATCCCAGGTTTGGACACCATGAAGATCCTTTCATGGTGGCCGACTGACCGCATTTGCTAATGGGATATAAGGCAGCGCCCTCTGCCCAACTTCAGTGACTTTTATGGTGGGCCTCGTCAGCAGGCCTCACCATTCATCAATGGCGCCCTTGGCAGGAGCTGAGGGACAGTGGCAGCCATGCCTCCCCCTGCTCCAGCTACTCCTTCCACCTTCTGCTAACCTGGATGTTGTGGGTACCCTGGCGACCCCCAGAGGACTGATCGTCGTCTGAGCCAGCTTCCATCCAAGCACTGAGTTCCTCAAGATGTGGCTGGAGGGGCTGGTGGCCTGGAGCTGGTCTCTGGATGGCCTGAGGGACTGTATTGCCACCGGCATCCAGTCTGTACGGGACTGTGACAGAACAGCCGTTGTCACTGTGGTCTGCCTGCTGGTCATGTTTGTGTGGTACTGTTACCATGTGGGCCGAGAACAGCCCCGACCCCATGTGTCCGTCAACTCCCTCCTGCAGGGAGTGGATGCCAATGGGCTACAGAATGGGTCCATGTACTGCCAGTCACCCGAGTGTGTGCGCTGCATGCACCACGATGGTCTCAACCAGAAGCTTTACCACAACCTGCAGGAATATGCCAAGCGGTACTCATGGTCCGGTATGGGCCGCATCCACAAGGGCATCCGGGAGCAGGGCCGCTACCTCAGCAGCCAGCCCTCCATCCAGAAGCCCGAGGTCTTCTTCCTGCCTGATCTCCCCACTACGCCCTACTTCTCCCGGGACGCCCAGAAGCACGATGTGGAGCTGTTGGAGCGGAACTTCCAGGCCATCCTCTGCGAGTTTGAGACACTCTACAAGGCCTTCTCTAATTGTAGCCTCCCACAGGGGTGGAAAGTGAACAATACCCCCAGCGGGGAGTGGTTCACCTTTGACTTTGTCAACCAGGGCGTTTGTGTCCCCAGGAACTGCAGGAAGTGCCCACGGACGTACCGCTTGCTCGGCAGCCTCCGGACCTGTATCGGAAACAATGTTTTCGGGAATGCCTGCATCTCGGTGCTGAGTCCTGGGACTGTGATCACGGAGCACTATGGACCCACCAACATCCGCATCCGGTGCCACCTAGGTACGTGGATGGGGCAAGCCCCAGCATGCACAGTCACGGAAGCCTCAAGTAGCAAGGTGCCTTTGCCTCTTGGGTGCTTTGACCAAATACAGACACGTTCAGCTGGGTGCAGTGGCACACACCTACAGCGCCAGCACTCACTTGCTTGGCAGAGGGTTGAGGCTTGAAGTGCTAACCTGCATTCTGTGTGTGCACTTGTATGCGTGTGTGTGTGTGTGTGTGTGTGTGTGTGCGTGCGCCGAGACCAGGGATCAGCATTGAGTCTTGTCTCAGGACCTGTTTACCTTGTTTTTACAGGATTTCTCTGGAATCTGGGGCTCACTGGCTATGTTAGATTCACTGGCCGCAAGCCCCAGGGGGGTCTGCCTCCCCAACCCTGTAACTCTAAGTGTGTGCCATGGTGCCTAGCCAGTTCACATGTGGAAGTAGCAACTTAGGTCCTCATGACTATACTATAAGTGCTTTACAAGACTTGGCCATATCCCAGCCTCAGAGCCTGGTTTCTTGGTGGTGGTCTATAAACAACTGTGATGGCAGAATATGAACCTCTTTTTTTTTTATTCTGTCAAACTTTGACTCATTTGCCTGTGGTGCTAGAGATGGAAGCTAAGCACTCACACATGCTCTCTGCCACCAGGCCACACATTAACTTAAATCTAGGATCTGGCAAGAAAGGCACTGTCTGAAAGAACTTTGGAGGAGAGACCGGTAAGTGTCCTCCATCTTCCCTGTCCATCATGTGAGCCGCTGGCCACGTGTGGCTGCTGAGGGCTTGGGCCATGGTCAGTAGAACAGCTGAGCTAAAGTTTTCACTTAAGTTTATGTATCCAGCTATGGCTGGTGGCTGCTTTCTCTGTGGTGGCTGACACAGAACCCACGGGGGTTCTGAACAGTGACAGAGGGCCTCAGTGGTGCCTGAGAGGCTGGGAAAGATGCTTAAACATTCTGAGTCACCACAGATCAATGGTGTCCAGTATTCTGGTCATTTTATTCAAAGTCTAGGAATCGTGTGCGCTGTGTATGTGGCATGCAAATTGAGTGTCAAGCTAAGCTGCCTTTTTATCGAGCCCAGCCATGAGTTAGCTGTGCTACATGTGTGCTGCTTCCCTCCTCTGAGCTGCCCCAGAGTGAGGCAGCAGCTCTCCCTTGGGGATCTGTCAGAGGAGGTGTGTCTCAGAGTGGCCATCAGTGCTAGGTGCAGAGTAAGGTACATGGAGGTAAACTTCACAGCTATGGGGGACCTTCTTCCTGGTGAATGGTGACAGAGTAGAGCATGCTGAGCTAGGAGGTGGCAGCTGTAAGAGGCGGTGCTGGCTGGCTGCAGGAGACGGGGAAAGCGGAGGATGAGTGTCCCAAGCAGGCTGTGGTGGGGCTCGCTAGTGCACTTTGCAGGAGCCTGTGCCAGATGCTAGGCCCCCACCCCCTCTCGCCCCAGCAGTTCTGCTCCCTCTGCTCCCTGGATACGGGGTGCTTTGCACTGAAGATGTCTGTGCTGAGAAGCAGAAGTACCATTGTCAAAGCTGCTGCGGTTGGCTTGACAGGCAGGTGGGACAGGGTGGCATCTCGAAGCTGGAGTCTGGATCCATGGGCAGCTGCAGGCTGGACAGGGTCCGAGTCTCCATAGACCTCATTGCCTCTCTGCAGAGTAGACACACAGCTCCAGCACTAAGGAGAACTTTGAGGACACAACTCACTAAGTGGCCATTTGGCATAGTGCCTGGCAGTCTCCTGAGCATGGCAGTGGCTGTCATGACTACACAGTGCTCAGTAAGGCATCTCCCACTGTCAGGCCCTGGAAGCCAAGCTTCCTCTTTAAATCAGGGGGTGGGCCATGCTCAACCCTGCCTTCAGGGCTATTTGAAGAAAAGGAAGTAGTTCGAGCATTTGAAGTTCTCGGCAGGCAGAGGCCAGCTTTATTACCAGGTAGACTTTGATCCACACCATGGCTTTGCTTTAATAAACCTATGGCAAGAGTCCATAGAGGGAGCTAGGCTGCAAACAGCTTGAAGGCTGAGGTAGGGTAGGCTGTGGGGAGCAGATGGCTGACTTAGACCAGGCTAGGCCAGGCTGAGGTTGAGGGCTGTTGGGAATGGGAGTGAAGCTTTTCTTTTGAAAGGTTTTGCTTTGTGGGAGCTTTTGATTTCCAGGGTACTGGGCTGAACCCGAGTCTGATGCATGCTGGGAAAGTGCTGAGCCACTGAAGTGCATCCCCAGCTGCCATGCTGTTCAAAGGCTTTGGAATGCAGAGTAGGGGCAGGCCTGGGAGACTGATGTGGTCAGGATCCAGGGCTGTGGAGTAGGCAGGCTGGGAGAAGGACATGGAGGTTTGGGTCGCTGTGTTAATGTCTGATACGTGCGTACCATATACTTGTGTGTGCGTGCATGTGTGCAGAATGTGCACACTCTGTCATTGTGAACATTCCCTTCTCAGGCCAGCTAGTAACTTGTAGGGAAAAATGGGTCCTTGATCTCCGTGGGACTAACAGGGAATTGTCTGTTGAAGAGGTCCTGCTGTAGGCTGGCTGTGCATGGACGAAGCTGGCTTGGATTCCCATGGATCCCAGGACGAGACATCATGAGTTCTTGAGGTCATGAGAACCTAGACTGATGTAAGCAATCGGTCTAGGGCCCGGACCAGATGAAACCAACCAAGGAGGAGTTTGGCTGGTAGTAGCCAACACGGCCTCGCCAGTCCTGCCTGTCCCTCGAAAGACTGACTGGCTGTGTGACAATTCCACATGCTGGGTGGCTGTCAGATAACAGGACAGGGCTGGCGATGTGGCTCAGTGAGCGGAGGCGCTTGCCTTACAAGCCTGATGACCTGAGTTTGATTCCAGGAACCCACAGTGGGAGGACAGAACCGTCTCCCCTAAGTGATCCTTTAATGCTCACACACATGTGGTGTCAGGCACACCCCACAAAATATTAATACAAAGTTTTAAATTAAAAAAGAACAGAAACAGCTGGGTGGTGGTAGGGGAATTAAGAGTTCAAACACTCTTAATCCCAGCACTCGGGAGGCAGAGGCAGGTGGATCTCTGTGAGTTCGAGACCAGCCTGGTCTACAGAGCTAGTTCCAGGACAGGCTCCAAGGCCACAGAGAAACCCTGTCTCGGGGGGGGGGGGGAAGAGTTCAAGGCTAGCCTGGGCAACGCAGTGAGACCCTGACTGAACAAACAAAACAGCCCAGACTCCGCAAGGTTCTGAGGCTGGAGGTCCAAGGCGGAGCTCTGCAGGCCCAAAGCGGCTCTGGCTGCCAGGTGAGTGTCTTAGCCAGGGTTCCTGTTTGCTGTGATGAACGCCATGACCAAAAGCAAACTAGGGAGGAACTCACACAGGGCAGGAACCTGGAGGCAGGAGCCGAATGCAGAGGCCATGGAGGGTGCTGTTTACTGGCTTGTTCCTCGTGGCTTGCTCAGCCTGCTTTCTTATAGAACCCAGGACCACCAGCTCAGAGATGGCCCCACCCACAATGGACCGGACCCTCCACCATCAACCACTAATTAGGAAAATGCCTTACGGTCAGATCTGTGGAGGCATTTTCTCAACTGGGACTCCCTCCTTTTGGATGACTCTAGTTTGTGTGCCATGTGGGCATAGATTCGCCAGCACAGTGGCCGTGGCTTCCTCTTGCTGTGACCTCATGTAGTACAAAGGTCCGTTTTATAAGTATAGATCCCATTCATTACCTTATCCTAAAGATCCCTAATGCCATCATCTCGGTGGCCTCAGTCACCCACATATAGCCCACAGTGTGGACTCCAGGGGAGCGTGTGGAAGACCTAAGCTTTTAAGTGCCCACTGGAGCAGCCCAGCTCCACCTTCTAGCAGCCTTGAACCCTGGCCACCTTCACTCTCAACCCTCTGTTTTTCCCCAAGGTCTGAAGACTCCCAATGGCTGTGAGCTGGTGGTGGGGGGTGAGCCCCAGTGCTGGGCAGAAGGTCGCTGCCTGCTCTTCGACGACTCCTTCCTGCACACTGCATTCCATGAAGGTGGGTGCTGCCTCTCCTAGAGCTTGCCCGCCTGCTTGCTTTATGGTTGTTTTTAAAAGAGAAGTTTTGGGGTACCAGACAAAACTGACCAGGAACTCCCAAGGCGCCCCATTTCACCTTCCCATGCAGTCTCCCCACATGGGTAGCTGGTATGACAGGTGACGAGCCACCTTCAGCCAGCTGCCATGACTTGAAGGCTGTCGTCACATTCAGGCTCATTCCCAGTGTCAGACATTCTGTGGGTTGGGACAACAGAATGCGGACTGTGTCCGCAATGACAGTCCCACTGCCCTGCCCAGGTTCTCTCCCCCCTTTTTTTTTTCATTTGCTTTCCTCAAGACATGGGAGAGACCTCATGAACATTCTCCATCTGAGACAGGGAGGTCTTCCCATGCCCATAGGCCTACAGCTCGGTCTACATGAGTGTACAGGGCCACCCCGACCCCCTATGCTCCTCCTCCCTGGGTGTGGAGGGCCACCCTGACCCCCTATGCTCCTCCTCCCCATCCTGACCCCCTTACGCTCCTCCTCCCCAGGTTCCGCTGAGGATGGCCCACGGGCGGTCTTCATGGTGGACCTCTGGCACCCCAACGTGGCAGCTGCCGAACGGCAGGCCCTGGATTTCATCTTTGCTCCAGGACGATGAGGACGTTGCCTGGGCTGGAGCCAGCCTGAGTGGGGCCCAGGTGGACTGTGGGACAGCCCAGTCCTTGCCGTGGTCCATACTGGAAGCGTGAGTGGCCTCCTGTCCCCATGGGAGCCCTCTTTCCTTTGGTTACTGGGAACTTCTTAGGTTTCTTTCCCCTTCCAGTTATCTACTGGGACTTCTGGCCTATTAGTGTGTCCCTTTGGCTGTGACCAGAGACTCTGTACCCCTCAAGTCTGTGACTTTGCTACCTGATGTCTTCTCTGTGTTCTGGAATAGAGTAACCAAATGGCCATTTGTCTGAATGTTATCATCTTAAACTTCATAGCTGTCTCACCAGAGACACAGCCAGCCATTGGGCCCGACAGCTTGGCCTCTGATGCTGGGGTTCGCACCTACACTGTCCCAGAGCAAGAGACAGCCTGCAGTCTGCACACCTGCTTGGCTTCATTAGGGTCTTACCAGTCACCATCATGGTGGTACATAGGTCAGGGTCCAGGGAATACATCATTGTTGCTGTCACCTGAAGTCTGTCAGAGTCCCAGTGGTTGTGACCAGGGCCTTTGCCCCTACAGAGCCGACGGCCAGTGAGGGCTCCCAGGTCAGCAAAGGACAGGGATACCCTTAGCTCACTGCCTACGGAAGCCTACTGCCAAGTCACGCCTCACACGCGCTGCTGCTGTGGTTTGAGTCCACCGAGATTGTCAGGAAACATGCTCGGCTTAACCTTTGCCACCAACCAGGTGACCGGGTGTCCGTCATGCTTTGGAGTCTGTTGCCTAAGAGTCAAATGCTAGACTAAGGGACAGCAAAGAATCAGCCCCATGTCGATCAAAACATTGACTCAAGCCCATGGGCGTGAGGACACGGAAGAGAGCTACAGACCCTGAGATTCACAGATATGACATTGGTCTTTGGTCTCCAGAGAAAATACACAGTTCTCTTCCCGAAATGAAGGCTAGCCAGAGGCCCAGATAGCCACAGGCCAGCTGATGTAAGAACATAGTCAACCATTCTCAGAACACGTTTTGGGAGTAGTGGCCCATGGGTCTTGCCCAGAGCAGGACAGAATGACAGGTTGCTTATGTAACCCTGCGTTAGGTCTGAATGCAAACCCGACTCCTCTAGAAAGTAATCTGATGAAGTCGGTCCACAGAGGAGAGAAACACACCGAGACTGTTTCTGTGCTCAGGGTTGGAAGGGAGCCTTTGGGCTCCAGAGCTTCTGCACTCGGGGTTCTCGGCAGAGACCTCAGAGTGCATGGTTCCCATGTGTCCCCACTGCCCCCCCCACATGCCAATGACATGGCTGTGGAACAGGAAGTGAATAAAGAACTTGCGACAAGAGACATGCTCATGTAGCTTGTGAGAGCAGGCAGGGCCTGGGCAGCCGGAAGTGACGGGCTGGTGTGGGAGCATGCCTCTTGGTTTCTGAGTTGGCACCGACGGCTGAGGCCAAGGTCAACAGTGGGTGAGGCCAAATGGCTGTCTTAACAGAATCCTATGGTATGGCTCGGGGCAGAGCACGGCCTAGCATGCATGAGACCCTGGGTACCATCCATACTACATATGGCAGGTGAGTGAGGGTGCAAACAGGAGCCAGCCAGTCTGCAGTGTTGAGTCAGCTCAAATGGTAAAACAGACAATATTTGTGTGGGAAGAATTTGTAGTTCTTACATTTTGCTGGACTCATGCTCAGCATCTGGAGTTCACTCCCCTGCCACTTCTTGCAAACCAAGTCCCCTCTCCCAGTCTCCCTTGGTCTCCCTGAAGATAAGTCTGGTGTTGGCCAGGTGTGGGATCCCTCTGCATAGCAAAGCCACAGATGTCCAAGAAGCAGGAATAAAGGAGGACGGGCCAATTCCCCTGGACAGCAGTGGCAGCCAGGTGCCCTGGGACAGCCTGACTGTCCACATGCCAGTGCCAACCGACAGCCACAACCAGTCGCTGCACCAGGAAAGGAAGAGTGTGGCCCTCCCAGGGCCAGTGGGGTTCTCATGGTCCTTCACATGCACCGCCAGCCAAGCAGCTGCTGAGGTCATTTCTGTGTCGCCAGGACTGCTGGAGGGGAGAGAGGGGAGCAAGCCAGGGCCTGCTCCAGAAGGAATCCCCACTTTCTGCTCTTTCCAGTTCTTCATGTCTCTCCAGCCAAGACCTCAGCAGTTGCTTGATCAGCTCCAAGTCACCATCAGGTCCTCAGAGCCTAAACCCCTTTCCTGTCCATCATCTCTCCAGGGTTGTGTGGGCTGTCTTGACTGCATGCAGCACAGGCAGGTCTTCAGTGCCCTCCACCCAATCCCCACCCCCACAGCAGCTGCCCTCTCTGTCTGGGGTGGAATGCAGACCCACCTATAGTTTAAAACTCATTTCTGTTTTGGGTTTGAATTGCTGGGGTTGAGGGTCACTGATATGCATAGCAAGGACAGTAAGCCGTAGACAGTCGGCAGAGGGGTATGTCTAAGCCCTGTTCTGAGTGATGCTGGGCAGGCCACCTGACCAGTTTCTATAGCAGCCAGTTTGTGGTGCTTGACTACAGAATCCTGGGCATCGGGTTTTGTTTGCTTGGGATGGATCCAGGATCTTGAACATACAAACACCCTACCACTGAGTCCTGCACTAAACTGTAACACCCCATACCTAGCTCATGAGTTTTGGGTCTGGCAGATCTCAACTTAAAGGCTAGACCTCTGACCCAGACCTGACCAACTAGCCTCCTGAAGTCCTATCCTGTTGGTTCAGATTTTGGGCACATGACCCAAGTTCTTATGCTGGGACCACTGAGAAAGAGAAAGAGACAGCTAAGAAAACACATGAACCACAGGAGAGTAGCCGGCCTCCATGTGGGATCCATCTGCATCCGGATGCAGCTTTGCCTGGACCCAAACCTGCCTGTTGATTGTTAGGTTCCAGGAGCAAAGCAACTGCACTGACTGACTCTCGAGCCAGGTTTGAGTGATGCTTTCTTTCCTGTGCCACCACGAAGTCCCAATCAGTCTCGTCCACAGGATGGGTCTCATGCTTGCTTCGTAAACTTAACCTGACTTTTCAATCAGGCAGTACGATGTCAGATGGGAGGGCCTGTGCGGGTGCACACATGCACGTTAGAGCAGACAGGCTAGGGACCAATGCTTTCCTAAGGCTCCCCACTGCACTGCATGCAACGCTGCCAGCAGCCTTCTCCGACATTTCCCTCCCCGGGCAATGGCTGCTAACCAGCTGTAAACATGGGGAACAGGACAGAATGAGGCCACATACTTCAGAGCTGCTGACAGATGGCCGTGGACATACTCAAGCAGACTGCAGTGCTAGGTGGCCCTAGGAGGTGACATACTGGACTGATCACTTCCTGCCACCTTCCCAGGTGACCTCTGGTTACCTCCGTTCTGTCTTCCTCCTGACCCCACTTGCTATGCGAGAGTGTTCCAGGGGGGGTTTGGGTGGCTCACTGCACTGCTGGGGATGGAACCCAGAGCTGCCGCACACAGGCAAATACTACTGCTGCGTTTCACCCCACTGATAAGACCCTAGGCAGCCACTCTCCCACTCAGCCATCTCCTGTCCCCTACGCAGGCATGGCTACTGAGCCATGCATGCCCCTAGCCCCTCACTGGGGGTTTCCAGAGGAGCTCTAGCATGAGCCCAGCCCCTCACAGGGGGCAGGTCTAGGCAGGTGCTCGGCCACTACTCCCCTCATTGGGGGATCCTAGGGAGGGGCTCTGCCATGAGAACCTCTCGCTGGGGGGTTCTAAGTAGAGGCTTTGCCATTGTGCTCTTCGCTGGAGGATTCTAGGCAGGTGCTCTACCAATGACCCATCAGAGTGCAAACACATTACAAATAATAAGGGATGGAGCTCAATGGTAGAAGCTAGCCTGAGTGAGGTCCCGGGTCCCACTCCAGCAGCTATACAGTGGGCACCCACCTTTTGCCATTTCTCTTCAGCAAAGACTTGCATAGTTTCCCATGATTTATGCTGTAGTCGCCAAGAGGCAGCTTAGGTTGTGAGGACAGCTATACCGCAGGGACTCCAGTGTGCAGATTTGGGTGTCCTGCTGGGGCCCATGCATTGTAGATCTCCTAAGGTGTGTACATGTACCCCAGACCCCTCTTTGGTACTAAGGCCCAAAACAGCCAATGTCCTGGACCCTTGTAGAATGCCTTTTCCTGAGGCTGTGGGAGGGCCAGCATCCTCTGGACTTTAATAAAAGGACAAAGACTGAGCAAACTGAGCAGGGGGGTGGGGCAGAGGGACACACAACAGCCACTCACCGTCCTTGGTAATAGGTGCTGTAATAGGAGCCCAGATGCTGAACCTGGCACTAGCTTGGCAGCTGGGGTAGGAAGTGAATGTGGGGCTGCCCGCAGCCTCCATAGAGCCCTAAGCCATTACTGTCGCACGCTGGGCCTGGCTATAGGAAGGTGGGACAGAGAGGGACTGCCACTTGGCAATTCTGAAGCAGGCTCTGGGCTCCTGCCGGGGCTCAAAGACACCCAGAAAGAACACAAGGCAGTTTCCCTCACAGAGAGGCCTGGAGGCAGGTGCCTCCTCTCAGAAGCCAGCAGTTGAGGGCTGGGAGCAGGTGTGTGTACTGGGCGGAAGGTGGATGCAGACTGAGAACCAGTGCTCACCTCCCCTGCACTGCTATTTCCATCTCGAGGTGGGCACCTGCCATCCACCAAGCTGCCAGGTCCATCCACTTACTTTCCACCCTCTCTGGGCCACAGGCTGCAAGCCCTCCCCAGGGGCAGCCACAGCCTTCTAAAAAGCCTCCATCACCACCACCACTCTCCCTGCTTCCTACCCACTTGGGAGTGGTGACCTGACCTTCCAGCCAAGGACAGGCATGCTCTCATGCCCAGAAGCTCCTGGGAGGAGCTGGCACCTCAGCAGCCTCACCAGGCTTGCCTCCCCCACAAGCCACCTAGCCCACTGCACACTCAGAGTTCAGTTTGCAGACACAGGATGTAGCAGAACCCTGCAGTGGCTATACCGGATGACTGTAAACTTACTGGCTTAAAATGTCCGGGATTCCTGCTGGAGGGCAGGAATCCATCCAGGCCCCTTCAGCTCTCAAGCAGATCCCCTCACCACTTCCTGGCACCCAGCAGCCATCGGCTTCTCCCTCAGCGTCCCTGTTCACACAGCCCTTC